CAGAAAGTCAGGGCTCATCTCAAAAGACGACGCTTACTGAGCAGTATAGAGTCCCCGTCACTATACTGGGACACCAGGACCCACACAGACCGCAGGTTGGGCGCCCCCTGCTGGCCTCACTAATACCACTTCCGGCAGCAACCTAGCTTTCCCATGTGGTCTCCCATCCAGGTACTGACCAGGCTCAGCCCTGCTTAGCTTCAGTGCGCGAACATGTGAGAGTTGTAATTAATACTTTAAAAGTGCTCAATTATTAAGATGTGTTGACAGTTATTATCTGCATAATTATTTGAGACTGTTGAGTCGAGTTGTAAATGAGAAATTTCTTAATTTATTTGAACATACAATTTTCAAAATGTCCTACTTTTAGTTAATTAATGCGAGTACATGCAAATCTGCTGTCCTATGTGTGAAGCTGTTGCATTGTCAGGTGTTTGTCACCCAATAAATGTTTATTGTTCTTTCAATTGTTTCTAAGCATAGCACAAACCGTACCGAAACCGTGACCCTAAAACCATGATACACACTGAATCGTGAGTAGATTGAACCGTTGCACCGCTACTTCATACACGTACAAATTAGAAAATGATTTAAGTATTTCATGCCATCTTCATTTCTTGGCAAAAATGCATCCGTTATGTACTTTTTCACTTCAATCAGCTGTAGCACTGTTTGTAGAGTGGGATTCCTGGGCACGATTATCAAGAAGTTCCCATAAACTGTCCTGGCTTTCTGCAGGTGTTGATAAAGATGATGGAGCTGATGCTGACAACTGTGGATCTGATGTTGAGAGAAAAAAAGCAATTACCTACAAAGCTTAAACTCATGTCATAACTGTATGAGGTTGCATAATACATAAACAGTGTTAGAATCATACCATAAGTCAAGCGCACTCCATCCTGAGATGCCTTTCAGCCTCCTGGTCTTTGGCAGTATTTCCAAATACTACGATTTTAAACCTTGGGTCTAAAACACTCATTCCTACCACATCCCGACTGGAAACCTTCTTGCAGGTGTGAGCTTGGGCGAAACAGGCAACAATACGACACTGATGGCCAGTGGCTTACCCTAATTGGGCAACTGATTCCTGCTTTGCAAGGCCTTTTTTTATCAGTTGTGCTGCAACATCCAGTACATTGGTATAAGCTTAGAGGCTGAGACTCTCTGTTCCTCTGGCAACTCTGTTGTCGAAAGTTTAAATGGTTGCAGTATTGTTGTGGTTTCTGAAAGTCTTACTTGGAACTCGACAACAAAGCAGTATCAGACTTTAAACTAGAAATTGTTTTTGATTGACTATCTATCTATCTATCTATCTATCTATCTATCTATCTATCTATCTGTCTGTCTGTCTGTCTGTCTGTCTGTCTGTCTGTCTGTCTGTCTATCTATCTATCTATCTATCTATCTATCTATCTATCTATCTATCTATCTATCTATCTATCTACCTATCTATGAAATCCTAAATCTAACTGTTCTGTCTGTCACTATTGAACTCAACCCTGTTTCTGGAGATCTACCTTCCTGTAGATTTCAGCGGCAACCCTGATCAAACACACCTGAACTGATTAATTAGGACTTGAACAGCACTTGATAATTACAGGCAGGTGTGTTTGATCAGGGTTGGCGCTGAAATCTGCAGGAAGGTAGATATGCAGGAACAGGGTTGGTCACCCCTTATCGAACATATATGGATATGTATGCCTTTATGGTTGGATGTGTATGCATGTATATGAATGACTATAGATTTATGCCCATGAATGTATCAGCAAATCATAGCCTGTGTCTATAGCCTTTCTATCAATATCAATAAAGTTTTATTGTAGCTTAAATATGCACTATAAATGTCACTAAATCGCATAATATCTCTCCTCTCACAACACCCCACAAAGTTAACATGACAAAACCATTTGTATCTTTTTCGAAATTAGATTGAAACCGATGTGCGATTGTGATTCGTTTACGACCCTGTCAATCAAACGCAGAGTCGGCAGGTATGCCACATCTCGAAACGCTTGTGAAACGCCCTGATGCTTTGAATTGATGCGTTCAACATGGAGCACAGCTGCAGCCGGTGATCAACGAGATTACCCGAGTGCAGGCGGGGCAGATTTAAAAGCGGACCTGTCAAGTCAGACAGCTAGGCTGCGTCCGAAACCGCCTACTTCTCAGTAGGTACTGCATTTGAATTTAAACGTACTACTCGGCCGTTAGAAAAGTACGCTCTATACAGTATGAATGTGAAAAGTATTAATGGAATTCGGACGTACTACATCCGCCATTTTGACATAGTCAAGTGACCTACCAGCGTCAATTGCGTCGCTTTACTCCCATTCATGAATTCGCTCTCGGGGCATTATGGGATAGCGCAGCGTGCATGGGATGCGCACTCCGGAATCTCGCCGGAAGTACGGAAGTACCATACTGA